GGTTCGAATCCACCAGATGCTCTGCCGGGAAAAGGAGGGACAATCTCCTCCTGTACCAGTCAGATCTGATTTGATGGTACACTAACACAAAAATAAAATGAAATAAAAAAAAGAAAGCACATTTAATATATTTTGAAGGTCAAAAATACTAAAACAGAACCAGGTGCTTTTAGAATTGCCCAGGTTCTGTTTTAGTATTTTTGACCTTCAATCCATAATAATCCAAAATTATTTCAAGTGAACTGTTATGAATTGCACAATTTAGGAAAATTGTGAGTCATATGAGCTTAGTCATGATCATATCTCGTTGAAGTTGCAGCTCAGATGTATAAGTCTCATTTTGATTTCAAAATTGTTTTCCTTTTGTGCTACTTTCAATAAAAGAGGATGTAGTGGGTGGAAGGAAAAAATAGAGGTCACAGATGAGAGATGAGAATTTTCATCTGAAGCTTACTGTATTTTGAAATTTATTTTGAATTTAGTGGCTGGGAGTCTCCATATTCAGTTCTCTTTTCTCATCATTGACATCAGCAGTTTTGCTCAGTATTTTAACATTTGGCTTCCTCTTTTGATGTTCATTTTGCCTCCTTTGAGACCTAAATGTTTAACCACCTTAACCACCCCAAGGAGGATTTAACAAAACTCTGCTTTGCCTAGTCAGAGAATTTATCCTTCTCACATAAAGAGAGAAGTTATGCACAGTACTATGATGGGAAATTTGGAGAAATCTTTTTGAATAAACACTGAATTTATCAGAACATCCTCCAAAACCAAGTGTGATAGATTTCTGGATCCTTCATACTGTGTATGTGAAAGGTTGTAATTGTATGCAGATGGAAGTATAATTTGAAGAATGGGAAAAGTTAGGATTGGAGGGTCAGAAATATGCTTCACTGAAAGAGGAAAGTGAAATGGTGCTTTATCACCTATCCCATAACTCAACCTAAATCAACCAGAGGAGATGAGTATTCATTCTATCCTGACCACGGTTTTTTAACTCGAGCTGTGATTTCTTAACACCTCTCATTTACTAGCCTGGTTTTGCTTATCACTTAAATGGTTTGTTGGCTACTAAATATGTGTAAGGGAACTCTGGTGGCCTCGTAGATAGAGTTGTGCTACCAACTCCAAGGCAAGTGTTTAACATCTAACAGCTGCTCCTCAAGAGAAAGATGGGGAGCCTCCTCCCCTGTGATTTACAGTCTCTGAAAATTGGTTGGAGGATCACCTTTGAGTCAATTCTAATTAAATGGCAATGAGAATGACTGAAATATGTATAGTGAAACTTCTTTGTGGAGTCTCTCTCTTACTGTCTATGCTTGCTT